CTTCTTTTGTACAGAGTCGTGACCCCGACTTCCCTGGCCAAAGCCATCCAAAGACATCGAATACCCAAAGAAAACAAGCCATGTCTTCCTGTTGGCCAAGCTTCAAATTATTGGGCAGATTTCACACTGGAGCTTGACCTCATTAATCCAAGGCCTATCACATTGCTGTAAATGTCAGTGGAAAAATAGCCATTCAGTGGGTTTCCTTCATTCCACCAGAAAGGGAAAAAACAGGAAGCTGACAGCAGCTGCGCCCCAGCTCAGCAAATCCCAAGGGCCCAGCTGACAGGGCGTTCCTTGCGAGCACCTATGTTCCCTGCTCCGGTCTGCTTGTCCAGATAAAGGTGGGTCCTGCATCTGTCTAGGCGAAGTGCAGCAGCGATCGGAGCAACACTTCAGATAATTCGGGCCCCTAAACACCTGCTCGGGAAGGGAAATAGCTTGGTCTGAATTTCTTTGGCCTGAATTACCCATTGGCTGTTCATCATTCAGGTTCATCTCAATCTCTTTTTGCCCATTCAAAATGTCCTGCAAGCCAAACCTCTGGGACTCCAAGGGACATAAGGCCTTCCAAGTCCTCATTCATCCCTTTAATGCATATTGATTGTCTCCCATGTGCCAGCCATAGTACTGGGCAGCTGGGGACATGGGGCTGAATGAATCAGACACAGTCACTGATCTTAGTGGCCTCCTGTCCTGTGTAAGCTTTCTTAGCCTCGGCACTACGGACATTTGGGGTCGGGAAATTCTTGTTGGGGGGGGGGTTCCCTGCGCACCGTAGGACATATTGCTGCATCCCTGGCCTCTGCCTACTGGATGCCAGCAGCTCCCCTCCCCCTCCACCCATCCCCACCTGTGACAACCAAAATTGTCTCCAGACATTGCCGAATATCCCGAGGGGCCAAACCGCCCCCAGTTGAGAACCATCAGCCTAGTGGGGGAGACAGTAAAAGAATAATGACACAAATAGCCATATAATCACAAGTATGGTAATTATGGAGGAGAATTTTGTGGATAGTACACCAGTATTGTCTACAACGTGGAAGTCAATTTTATGTATAATTACAAATCCTTGTGACAATTCTGAATTATGTATATATGACCTATATTTCCAGATGATGAAATTTTGGCTTAAGGAAGTGAAGAAATTGCCCAAGGCCCAAAACCCAGTGAAAGGCAGAGGCAGGATTTGAATCCTGGCCCTAAACTTTGCCTCTTGTGGAAAAGGAAATTCAAGCCTTTGTTTTGATGTCTTCTGTACACAGGTGGCGGATGTGGTCACGTGACGCTCTGATCAGCCATCCTAAAAAACTCATTCCTTCCTGGGGTCACCGTGGAGCTCAACCACCAGCTGCTGCATCAATCATGCTGCAAACTGTCTGCAACAAGGCACAGTCGTGGGACATCGGCTGGCCGAGGAAGGCCACCCTGGCTTCTGAAACATATGAGAACACTGTCCCCTTGCCAAGTGCCTGTACACAGGGCCTTCCCTAAAATCAGAGCCGGGAGAGAATGGGGCAGTCCCCAGGTACCCGGAGCACATTCCACTGTGCCCCATCTCCAAGATGCCTGCTGCCCAGCATCCAAGGGTACACAGTGAAAGAAGCCAGACATTGTGCTGTCAGCTTTAGATACTTACCAACAGCATGAGTGAGGGGGTACACTGTAGCACAGAGCAAGTTTGGAGACTCCCAGACATGAGTTCCTGCCAAGGATGAGCCACCTGCCTGTTAGCAAAGGGCCTCACCCTCTGTGTCTCAGTTTCCCCTTCTGTGCAGTGGGGATAAATGTATCTACTTTGAGAAGCTGGTATGAGGATTGGATGGCAATGCAGGTAAAGACCTTGGACAGTGACCAGCACCCAGAAAAGTACTTGGTACAATATGATGGTCAACGAGGGAGCCAGAGTGTGACACTTCCTCCACCCACATCCCCTTCCTTCAAATGAGAGTCCCAGGAAGAAAGAAACAGTTGCGGAAGTAGCAAAAGCAGCTCAGGAGGAAGGAGGGGGGCCTCTGTGCTTTTCAGGTAGAAGGAAGAGGAAGGGACAGTTAATGCACTGGCAAACGGGTACAGGTCAGCCCTTCCCGGCCTGCAGAAGTTAATCCTAGACTGCAATCCAACAGCACTCTGGAAGCTGCAGGGTGGCTGCTTCAGGTGAGTGAGCATTTAGTCATTCGGGATCCCTTGGCAGGATGGCCTCTGCCTCCCTCCCTGGCCTCTACTCCTGCCCCTGCCTCCGTCACACCCTAGGGTGACGCTGTTCCAGCTGTAACTGCTGCCCACTGCTCTCCAGGACACCAGGCACTCTGAAGCCTCTGTGACTTTGCACAAGCTGTTCTCTTGGCTTGGGCTGCCCACCCGCCGCCACCTGGAAAACCATCTCTAAAGGGCTCAGATGTGCTCCCACAGCAAAATTCGCCTGCCTGTTATTGGTCATCGTCGACTAATAATAATAGCAGCTAACATTTGCCAACACTGATTAATACCTAGAAGGCTCTGAGCTGAAGTTTTTACCCACGTGGGCTCACTTTTCTCCTCACATCACCACCCAAGAGGCAATGCTTCTGTCCATCACCTCCCAGCTACGAGGTGGCAGGTTCAGGAATGACACCTGGGTTGGTTAGGTGAGCCCACCTACCCATCCATCTCTCTACAACCCTTTTCGCCTCTTGCCAGTGAAGCTGTTATCCCACGGTGTCCTCACTGTCACCTTTTGCCCATAGATTGCGAAGCCTGAGAGCTGCCTTATTCGTCTTGAAATCCCTTGCTAAGTACAAGGTCTAGGATGGAGTAAACATCCACTGAATGAATCAATAAATCCTGAAAAATGGCAGCCAGATGAGAAAGGCTGAATGACAGACTTCCTGGGGACAGGCCTACACTGAACTTGAATTCCCTGAAATCAGGGCCCCAGGCTGAGGGGCTTTCCCTGCCCTGATAGCTAGAGGCAGAAGAGGTCTGATTTCCCCTGGACTGGAGGCGGTGGGACCTGTGAGAGCCCAGTGCAAAGGAGGAAACCGTGGTGATGGTGATGATAATCATTTCCTGCATTCCTGTCCCTACCGGGTGCTGTACTAAGCACTTTCTATGCATCACAGGCTCACAGAGTCCTCACAACCCCATGAAGTAGGCATTACTGTTATTCCCATTTCACAGATGAGAAATCCAGGACTCAGAGAGAGTAAATCATTTACCCAGGTCACAGAGCTTTTAAGTAGAGAGCGATCATCTGAACTAGACCTGTTTGGCTCCCTTGCTCTTCACACTTGTGGCTTTTTGTAAGAGGAAGGCTTGTCCAAGCCCTCCGTGAATCCCAGTCTCTAAGATGTACTCAGCATAAAGAAGGTCATCCTAGCCTCTGCTGGAAGAATGCCACTTGGGACCCACTACACACCAATCGCTTCAAGTCCTGGGTGCACGTGGCATGGGGGTGGGGGTGGCAAGGCTGGGAGAGGGATCAAGTTTGGGAGAAGCGTCAAGGTTCAGTGAGGTGATTGAGGGTCCAAGTACAGCACAGGAATCTAGGTATGTGCCTTCCGTGATCCACAAAACTAGGCTGGCTGCAACCTCCATGGGTTAGAGAAAGTTGACTCTGGATATGGGGAGTGGGCTTTGAGAAGAACCTGGGGCCCTAGTTTCCAGAGTGCAAATGGACTCTGCAAAAGGCTGTGGCCTTAGGGAAAAACCTACCTTCCAGCATCAGCATCCTCTTAGCCCTGTGGCTCAGGCTCCTGAACAGACTTAACAGCTGGATTAGAACTTATCCTCCACTCCAGCATCAATTATGAAAGACAACAAAGTCTGAGCATGCACTTGGCCTTGCCTGCCACATCCCTCCATGCCAGGGGAGATTCAGAGAGCGTGAGGATGTGAGGAGCCCCAACACAGGAACCCCAGAGCCTGCGGATGAATGGCACAGCAAGAGGAGACCAAAAGAGGGGTAGGAAGGATCAAGCTGTCTTCCTGAGGAAGACATTTCAGAGGCTGGGAAGAGCTGGTACCGGGAGAGGGGTCAGGAAGGTCCCAGGGAGGGGGACACTGTTGGATAGACTCCAGGTGATGGGAAGTTACAAAGCTGAAGGTCCAAAGTGGCCTGGTTGACATCTTGCCTCCAACATCCTGGAGGCAGGTGGGAGATGGGGGGCTGGGGAGGGGTGAGTGGGACGGCCCTGGGAGCAGGCGCAGAGCTGAAAGGATTCACCAGCGCCCACCAGCCGCCTGCAAGCTGCCTCTTTCTGACAGCGCTGAGGGAGGAAGATGAGGAAACTCCCTCAGCCCCTGCAGAACCACCCACCAGGGCTCCACTTCTGCTCCTGCCTAAACGAGACACGCCCCACTCCAAACCATTCCAAAAGGCGCCAGTATTAACCTAAGAGCATTCACACTGCGGTGCCCGCTGTACCCAGCACTTCACAGGGTCCTCTCCGCATCCTCCCACGGCCTGATTAGCCCCACTTCCTAGATGTAACTTGGGCTGGGAGGCCAAGTGCCTTGCCCTCAGGCAGAGAGCTAGTCATTGGCTGAACCAAGAAGCTTTATTACCAATCGAGGAGGAGGCGTCCCAAATGGAGGGGTTTTCTCCCGTGCTTCACCAGCCACAGGAAATGGCAGGGCCCACAGGGAAGTACCCCCACGGGCCCAGGCGGCTAACCGCAGGCCCCTTCCCCGGAGAGCCCTACGGGCACAAGGGCGCCTGGTACCTCGGGCCCCGGGTCCCCCACAGAGGGCGATTCAGAGGCGGCACCTGGTGCCCGGGGCCTCTGGGAGCTGGTGGGCGCTTCTGACAGCGAGAACAGGAGCCCATTATGTGGAATCCAATCACATGGGCGCGCAAGCAGCTCGGCTTTCGGTTCTGAGAAGCGCTTATGCAGCAGCGTCTCTCCCCCTGGGCTCCCGAGATGCCCGGGAGCATCGGGCCTCCGGCTTTACTGGCGGCCGTTCCTTGAGGGCCAGATTCAAAGCTCGTCTCGGCTCAATTATCCGCCCGAGGCTGGGAGCTGCATCATCAGCATCTCCCGCTAAGCCGGTCAGGACTGGGGGAGGAGGTGGAGGGAGGGAGGGAGTCAGCCTCAGAGAAGAAGGCGGGCAGCGAACGACACCCCCTCCCCGCACCTCCTGGCTCTCCACTCGGAACGATCTGGGCAGTTCAGCCGGGGCGCTTCGGGTGACCTTGGGGAGACCCCTCTGCGCGACCTCTCTGAGGAGGGCTGCACAGTTTCTGCCCATCCTAGGCGCTCGGGGGCGCTCCTCTGGCTGGAGTTGATGCGCGGGACTTGGGAGGAGAGGAGCGCTCCTGGCGCAGGGGCCGGAGCAGCGGGCGCACGGCGGCCTTTTGGAGACGCCGGGAACAACCATGCTCCGAGTCTCCCCGGAGCTGCCGGGCGCTGTCAGCTGGATCCCGCGGGAGGCGGGTCTGCACGCAGGAGCGCTTGCCCTGGGGACCTTTCCCGCCCCGGCAGGAGCGCTCCCGCCGCCCAGCCACTGCCTGAGGGGACCAAGCGCCACCACGCGAGGGGGCGGCGCCCCCGTGCCGAGAGCCAGGCTGGGCGCCGGGGCTGTATGGTGCCGGTTGTGGCTCCCACTGCCCGGCATCGCATCCCCCGGCAGACGGCGGCCCAGAGCCCAGAACCAGCCCAGGAGCCCCCTACCCGCCCCAAGATCCGGCCACGGCGGCCCCAGCCAACAACCTGCCAATGCACCCCTTACCCTGGCATCGCCTCCGGAAGAACGCCCCCACCCCAGCCCGACTCCTCGGCCCTGAGCTCCTGGTACCCGCCTTTCCAGTTTCCCCTTAACCCTCAATTATCTTCTGCCGACCGCCCTTCCCCAAAGCGCCCAGCAAACCCCTGGCCAGACCCTCGGAGGCTGGGACAACCTCCCCGCCGCGATCCTTATCCCTACTCTGTCAAGCCGCAGAGCGCAGGGAGGCAGGCGGCGCCGCCGGGGAACTCACCCGCTCTCCCGAGCCCTGCCCCGGGCGGCTCCCGGCCCTGGCTCCGTCTGTCTGTCCCTGAGCCGCAGCTGCCGGTGCGGCGACAGAAGCCTGCTCTGCTCCGCCGCGAGCCTCCGCACCGCCCCTCGGCTCCTCCCCCAAGGCGGGGCCTGAGCTCGAGGGAAGGGGGTGCGCACGCTCGACTAGACCTGGCGAGCGACTGAGCTCCGGGAAGAATCCCCGCCTCTCCGGGTGCGCTCACCCCCCAACTTTGAGCAGCTGGAAATTGAAAGGCGGATGGGGGTCCGCCAGGGTTAGAAAGAGTTTTCCTTACGGTCTTCCTCCCAGCCTCCAATACCACTACCCTGGAAAGAGGAAAGCCCAGGACTGTATTCCTGCTCCCATTTGATGGAAGGGCATCATGAAGCCCAGAAGCCCAGAGAGCTGCAGTAAATCACCCAAGGTCACACAGCATTAGTACCAGTGATAGCAATTCAAGTCTGCTACCTTGAAGGCCTGCGCAGCCTGAGTCTGAAGGCTTCCTAGGGTATCAAGGAGCCCAACCAGGCCTTGCCCTGGGGATGAGCCTGTGGGAGCAGGTCCCCCAGCTGGGGAGCCGGGGCGCGAGAAAGAGACTAGTGGGAGCATGGGGGCCGTGGCCTGCGACGTCGAATCGCATCATTTCCTCTTTCTGGAAAGAAAGGAGGTGAGGCGGAGGAGGAAGGAAGTGGTCGTACCTCCATTGACGTCCGCCACTGAGTGACAGGCGCAGGATCTAGAAAGGGGCTGCCTCCCTGAGATCTAACGCTAAAAATAAAACGCACAACACACCCGGTGACTTCTATCATCTAACTCAAGCCTCCTTCCTGAGGTGACGGCCCCTGCGCTCCGCACCATCTTTCCTTTACAGGACAATGGATTTAACTATTTTTAAATTGCTGTTGAGGGGACCCTTCTCTCCACCCCCACCCTCCAGGAAGAGGAGAGAAAGTTAACAAACAAAAGGGGAAAAAAAATCCATCCCCAAACATTCCCTGGAATCCACACTCGCTGAACACTGGCTTTAGAACAATAGAGTTCTCTTCTCCACAAAGGGCCTTGTTTCCTGAGCTTTCTCGGGCTTCAGATTAGAGCCCTTGGCACCCCAGGGCCAGCCAGTGGGGCACCAAGAAGCTTTAGGTTTGGGGAGTTTGGGGGTGATACCCAGTTAATTCAATTCTTAGCAGTCTTGTTCACAGAACTCCTTTACTCATTATTATGTAGCAACCCTCTTCTGAGTCTGAGGATATAATCTGAGTTTACTGATTTCCTGTTTGCTAAGAAAACTCCGAAGCCTTTCTTGGGGCAGTGAAAACCTCCGGATTGGGCTGACTAGGGGCTCCCAACCCCACCAGTTCCTTTAAAAGCCCCTCTTCAATTTGCCCCCTGGCTTCCTCTCAGTTCATTAATAATCCAGTTGTGCATGACACTGTTTCAGTAAGAGCAATTAGAGAGCAGAACAGGTGGGGAAGATTTTAAGTGATTTTAAAATAACCCAAGGGCCTCATTGTTCTCTGCAGAATGTCTCCATTGATTTATCATGAAGAGCTGTGGGCCGAGAGGGTGGGAATCCATCTCTCCAAGGCATGCACAGAACTTGGAGCCTGCCTTCCTGATGTGATGCTTTGAGTATGGGCCCAAATCCCCATGCTTTGCTATTCACTTACACGGCTCACAACATTTGATACCAAAAGTTCAAGTACCTTCAGAATCAGATGGAAGACTCACTTCCTGATTTCAAAACTTACCACCAAGCTACAGTAATCAGGACAGCATAAGGATAGATGTGGATTAACGGAATAAAACTGCAGTTCCAGATATCAACCCTTACATTTATGATCAATTGATTTTCAACAAGAGTAACGACAATTTAATGGGGAAAGAATTGGGGTTTTTCTTTCCCAACTAATGGTACTAGGACAACTGGATTTCCATATGCAAAAGAATGAGTTTGGACCCCCACCTCATACCATATACAATTAACTCAAAATGGATTAAGGCTGAAATGTAAGAGCGGAAACTATAAAACTCTCAGAAGAAAACATAGCATAAGTCATGACCTTGGGTTAAACAGTGGTTTCTTAGGTATGGCACTTAAAGCACAAGCAACAAAGGGAAAAATGGACAAGTTGGACTTCATTAAAATGAAAAACTTTTGTGCTTCAAACGACACCATCAAGAAAATGCAAAGATAACTGTTATGGGCTGAACTGTGTTCCCCCAAAACTCACATGCTGAGCTCCTAACCCCCAGTATCTCAGACTGTAACTGTATTTGGAAATAAGATCTTTAAAGAGGTAATTAAATCAAACTAAAGGCCCTTAGGATGGGGTCCTAATCCAGTATACCCAGTGTCCTTATAAGAAGAGGAACAGACACCAAAGATGCCTTTACAAGGGAAAGGCCATGTGAGGACACAGGGAAAAGACAGCCACCTACGAGACCAAGAGAGGCCTCAGGAGAAACCAAGTCTGCAGACACCTTGATCTTGGACTTCTAGCCTCCAGAACTGTGAGAAATAAATTTCTGTTGTCTCAGCCACCCAGTCTGTGGTATTTTGATACGGCAGCTTAGCAAACAAATGCAATACCCACAGAACCCACAGAATGGGAGGAAATATTTGCAAAGCATGTATCTGATAAGGGACTTGTCTCTAGACTACAAACGGAACTCTTATAACTCAATAATAAAAAGGCAAATAACAATTAAAAATGAACAAGGAATCAGAATAGATACTTCTCTAAAGAGGATGTGCAAATGGCCAAGAGAAGATGCTCAACTTCATTAGCCATCAAAGAAATGCCAATCAAAACCATGATGAGATACAATTTCCAACTCACTAGGATGACTATAATCAAAAAGACAGGTAATAACAAATGTTGGCAACTGGTCAACTGCAACTCAAGTCAACTCATAGTTACATATAAATTAGACAGAAAGCAGAATTTGGGTGATGAAATGGTTGCTATGATGTGAGGCAAGGCAACCAGAAGAAAGAGGGCCAAGCAACTCCTGAGTCTGTGAAAAAAAAAAAAAAGAACTAATTCAGCCTCAAGGGGTTTGGTTTAGAAGTTATCTGATCCACTGTTTCTTGATGCCAGACAGTGGGCAAGTGCTGAGCAGGCTGCATTCATTCATTCAACAAACGCTTAGTTCAGTGCCTGGTCCAGAGTAAGCCTGGAGAAGTGGCTGATGGTGAAGATGCTGGCTCCAGGCCAGGACCAACCAACAGAAGTGCCAGAAGTGCAGAGGGTGCCCTTGGGTTCCAGTGAAAATGACCAAGTGGGAGAAACGCGTGCTGGGTAGGAGCCGGGGCTCTGCCGTGAACTCGCTGGCAGTCATTTCCCCTTCCAGAGTGTTGGTTTCCTGGTCTGCAAAACTATGATTGTACAATACTTGCCTGTCTTTGTGTATTTTCTCCCATGTCCCTGTGCTTCTGAGGGAAGTGACCTTTCTTCGACCTGTGTTGTAAACGCCCCAAAGAGCACACCATGGGAGCCCCATTTTAAGTGGTGCGGAGGGAACACCAGATGTTTTCAGGTAGCAGGTGAGTTCAGCCCCATGTCACTCAGTCCTGTGCTGCAGTTTAAGGGGAACCAGGAGCAGGGGAAGTCGGTTTTCATTTTTATATTCAGGTTAGAGAGAACCCTCTTAGCCCAGCGGCTCTCAACCCTGGCAGCACGTTGGAGTCACCAAGGAAGCTTTTTAAACCTGCTGATGTCCAGGCTGCACCACAGGCCACTTGAATCAGATTTGGGAGGTGCGGCTCTTACTTTTAAATACATACACAAAGATCACAAAAACTCCCTAGGGGAGTGGAAAATGCAAGGTGCAGCCAGGCTAAACTAAGCCTCAGCCCCAAGCCTGTATTTCTCAAACTTTGGGGAGCACAGAATCACCTGGCGCGGGGGGAGGGGGGAAGGAAAGGAAGACGGTGTTAAAATGCTGCTTCCTCTAGGCCTTTCCTTTGCACCCCTCTCTCACTCTTGGGTGTAGGATGGGGCCTAGCAATATGCATTTAACTGATTCTGAACGATTCATCTTAGCTAATGCCTCCAGCTACCTTGATAGCAACACCTCATTCTCCTGTATCCCTTACTTTGACTTAACCAGGGTTTCCCAAACTCCCTGAGTGGAAAAGTCACATGGGGCCCTTATTAAAAATGCAGGCAAGTATCATATGATAGCACTTATCTGTGGAATCTAAAACAAATGGTGCAAATGAACTTTTTTACAAAACAGAAACAGACTCACAGACATAGAAAACAAACTTATGGTTACCCAAGGGAAAGAAGGGGGTTGTAAATTAGGAATTTGGGATTAGCAGATACACATCACTATATATGAAATAGATAAACAACAAAATCCTACTGGATAGCACAGGGAGCTATGGTCAATAGCTTGTAACAACCCATAATGAACAAGAATATGAAAAAGAAAATGTATATGCATACCTGAATCACTTGCTGTACACCAGAAACTAACACAACATAGTAAATCAACTGTATTTCAATTTTTTAAAAAATGCAGAAGCCACTTTGCAATCACCAATGTAATCGTTGATTGAGGAGGCAAGAGTCATCAAGAGATGCTGGAGCCGTTGGGTGAAAAGTTGGATAACAGAATATTCACATGGTTCAAAGTATCAGATCAGTTACTGATTAAAAAGTTACATTCACAACACAGAGAACCAGCAGTCTACCCCTTAGCCAGCGACCAAACCCAGCATCACGGAGAGCGGAACAGCCTGACATTGTGTGCCCCCTTGTGATGCAAGAAGGTGTACTCGACATCTTCTATGTCATATTCCTGCCAAAAATACTTAACCTGATTTTAATCATGAGGAAAATTTAGACAGATCTAGAATGTGGGGCATTCCACAAGCCGGGGCTCTCTTTTAAAAAGCTAATTGTTTTAAGGCAGCAAGTTATTCTAGATTAAAAGAGATGAAAGGGACATAACAACAACAACAAAATATATATATATATATATATATATAAAATGTGTGGACTTTGAATCCTGGATTGAAAAAGTAAATAGCTATAGAAGAAATTTTGTACACCACTGAGGACTGAACCCTTGTTTGGGTATCAGATGACATTACTGATTAATGTTAATATTCTGAGACATGATAATGGTATTACGGTTACGGAGGAAAAGGTCCTTATCTTATTCTTAGGGGATG